TATACCAAACTTGAGTGCTCCCAATAGATCATATATCAGTACTAAAATGATTGCCGAATCCTTCAATAAATATTTTTATCAATAGTGGAGACCATTACCAAAAGTACACTAAAAATGGTGATATACTTGACATATGTAATAAGGCTAATGAATATTTAACTAATATATTTACAACCACTTTCCCTTCGATCAATTATAGTTACAACAAATGAAATTGAAAAAATTATAGACAAATTGAAAATGACCAATTCTACTGGGTATGATGAGATCCCTATCAAAGTATTAAAAAGGTGTAAACATCTTATTACCTCATCCTTAACATACATAATAAATAGATCGTTAGCTACCGGTATATTTCCTGATAGGCTAAAATACTCTGAGATAAAACCTATATATAAAAATGGTGATAAAAATCTTATCGATAATTATAGGCCTATATCCTTATTGACTTTCTTTTTGAAGATATTTGAGAGAGTGGTATTTGTAAGACTTTGTCATCATTTGACTATCAACAGTGTTTTAGCCAATGAACAGTTTGGATTTCGAATGAAATTTTCCACTGAAAAGGCCATTAATAAATTGCTTGACCTGACCTTAACTGCCCTAAATGCTGGCCATAATGTGGGTGGAATATTTTGTGATTTGAAAAAGGCCTTTGATTTTGTCAATCACAAGCTTTTATTATCCAAGTTGGAATTCTATGGTATTACGGGTCCAATGCATAAATGGATAGCATCTTATCTTAAAGGAAGGTTTCAGAGAATTAAATTACAAGGTAATGATAGTAACCTAAATACCTATTCAAATTGGGGCTTAATATCCCATGGTGTCACGCAGGGATCCATTTTGGGTCCCCTGTTATTCTTGATCTATATAAATGGTTTGCCTCTAGTATTAAATAGGATTTCCTATCTTATCCTCTTTGCTGATGATACTAGTGAGATTATATCCAATCCAGATCCTCTAAATTTCCTGCATAGTGTGACTCAAGTTCTCAATAAATTAAAATTATGGATTAATGCTAATTTATTGTTCTTAAACTTTTCCAAAACTGAATTTGTCAAGTTTAATACAAAAAATATGCATGAACATGTGATAAAGATAGTATATGATAACATGGAAATACCCAACTCAACCAGTTTAAAGTTCTTAGGGGTTAATATTGCAAATACTCTAACTTGGAAAACTCATATTGACTCTAAGTTTAAGGTCTTTCATTCTGGTCCGTCACACTAACAAATTAACAATCAAGTTCCTTCCGTCAAATGTGACACTTTTTTAAGTTTTCCACCTCGTCACCACCTGCCTTACATGTTTCGGCTCACCACGGAGCCATCATCAGAGGCATTTATAGTAGAAAAAGAAATCACCAACACACAAAACTTCACTTTGTCAAAGATAACCACGTTCCAGTTAATTAAAATAATTACAAATAGTTAAAATTACCCAGAGTATCGGTTCACTAAAAGTTTTTCACACACCACAGTAGCTTTCTTATTTGTTCGTCGTTACTTCTGTAAAATTATGTTTCATTATTTGAAGTAAGAATTCTTAAAATTCCTAGAATTCTTTCCCGCTTGGCCCAATCTTTTTGCTTCGGGGTGTTGCTGACGTGTGTTGTCTGTAGGTAGTTGATGTTGCTTGTCTGTGTGTTGTGATGCTTCACAACTAACTTCTTAATTAACTGGAACGTGGTTATCTTTGACAAAGTGAAGTTTTGTGTGTTGGTGATTTCTTTTTCTACTATAAATGCCTCTGATGATGGCTCCGTGGTGAGCCGAAACATGTAAGGCAGGTGGTGACGAGGTGGAAAACTTAAAAAAGTGTCACATTTGACGGAAGGAACTTGATTGTTAATTCATATTGACTCACTTATCCCGAAACTTAGCTCTGTGTGCTATGCGATCCGAATCATAAAACCATTCGTGAATCATGAAACTTTGCTTATGGTTTATTATGCTTATTTTCACTCTGTTATTCGATATGGCATTATTTTTTGGGGTAACTCTTCGTACGTCAGCAATGTCTTTCGTTTGCAAAAGAGGGTGGTGAGACTAATAACTGGTGCTGGTAATAGAGACTCATGTAAAACGATATTTACTACTATAAAAATTCTTACTCTGTCATCTTTGTATATTTATTCACTATCTTTTGTTGTTGGTAACATGGATCAATATTATTTTGTATCTGATATACATAATAGAGACACTAGACAGGTACTCAACATAAAGCTATATCAACCCTCAACTCGTTTATCATTATATGAAAAAGGCTCATATTATATGTGTATCAAACTATTCAATTGTCTCCCACTAAATTTGAAGCAATTATATAAAGATATTAAGCAGTTTAAATTAAAACTAAAAGAATTCTTGAGTTGTCACCCATTTTATACTGTGGATGAATTTTTTGTATATACTAGTCAGTAAGATTAATTGTATTCTGGTTCTATTCTTATGTCTTGACTTAGTTCTTTGTACTACTTATTTATCTAATATGACTTTTCCACATCCTAAAGTATTGGATTTTTATGAAATAATAGATGAGTAATGAAAATGAAAAAAAGAGCTTGTACTGACGCCTGAAACCTATGAGAGTTCTATAATATGATGTCTTGGTTCTGTGTTGTTTTTGTAAACCGGAGGAGTTTTGTTGTATATATCTGATATGTTCTTTTTTTTTATATTTGTTTTATATTATGAATGCCTTGACTTGTCACCCATTTTATACTTTGGATGAATTTTTTGTATATATTATTAGGTAAGATTAATTGTATTCTGGTTCTATTCTTATGTGTTGACTTAATTCTTTGTACTACTTATTTATCTAATATGACTTTTCCACATCCTAAAGTATTAGATTTTATGGAAATAATAGATGAGTAATGAAAAGAGCTTGTACTGATGCCTGAAACCTTTGAGAGTTCCATACTGGGGGAGTTTTGTTGTATATATGGCTGATATGTTCTTCTTTTATTTTGTTTTATATTATGAATGCCTTGACTTGTTCCTGTCGGAATGGAATGCTTGTTTTTTGATCTGTGACTCATTCTATATCCAATGGTTGTTTCCCAGCCTGTAGCTGGATCTATTTTTGAATTTGAAATAAATTGAATTGAATTGAACTGTGGCCCAGTAAATTTTTGTTATAAGACAAGGACCCAGTACTGGGCCACAGCCCAGTGGTTGAGAAACACTGCTGTAGAATGTAATGCAATACACCAATGTGGTATATGTATTATGTAATTAAAATAAACGTTATGTAATATGTAGGAATTATGCTACCGTCAACACAACACATATTTCAGTATTACATTTAGATCTTTATTTACTAACGACATGTTCTGGTCATACATGACTATCATCAGGCAGGAATATGTATAGTTATTGAAATACCAATTTGGATCCTTATTGGTGCAATGTGTAATTGTATGTAGTTCCTACATACTGTCTGAGACAACAGGATGCAACAAATGAAAATAAAATAAATATTTTCTAGAACATTGACTTTGTTAGTGTTCTTTTCTTTATAAAGGATTTTCAGTTACATTGTTCTTTCTGATTGTAATATGTGTGTTATGAGAGCTTCAGTGTAAGAAGAAGGAAATAAAATAAGCATAACTATATGAATTGGAATATGGGTGCTGATGGAATAATTCTTATTTATTTATTTAGTTAATTGTGATTTATTTAAAGACTTTAAATATCCCAAATTTTACAGCATTGAGTGATGAGGGATCAGTGAATAAAGAATTGAAAAAGTATGCGGAAAGAACCAATTTTGGCATAATTTTCCTGGACCAACTGAGGAAAATCGCAACAGAAAACCCAGTCATGATAGCTAGTCTCTGGACTGAGATTTGAACCATGGACCTTTCAAATAGCACAAGTTCTACCCATTCCTCGATATTTTGTCAGTAATCAGTAGTTATAATGTTCTGATGTGCTCTCTGGTTGATGCGGTTGTATGAATGATCATAACTTTCATTTCCATTTCATTTATTCACTTTCCATAAATCCTGTCAAGAGTACAAAGATTATTTTAATATTTGGACTTTAGACTGTTAACCAAATGAAAATCACATTCAGTTTTGTACCCTTATAGAGTGTCTTTGCTTCATTGTTGAGTCCTTATCCTCATATCTACTATTAGGTTATGTTCCCTTATCCACTGTGCTCTAAATAACTCATATTAAAGTTGAATTCAGCTCTGAAAGGGAAGCTGTAATGCCAAGTGTTATGATTATTATTAAAAAGAGTAGCATAGTTAATCCACATTACAAATGCATGTTGCTTTTCTGCTTATGTATCATCTTGTCTCTATAGAAAATAAAATGTTCTGTTTCATTGGATTAACTTATTAAGCATTCTAATGTTCTTCCTATTCTACAGTTGTCTACTGTAATAAAATAAAACAAAATGCTCATTCTAATAAAGGAGAGGTATGAGAGTTAAACTTAAGAAAAAACTAGTCTAATAAAGTCATTTGTAGTTCATTTAATGAATGTAAGTTAAAGAGTTACAGTTAAGATACCTTCAAATATTGAGATGATGATTCACTTGCGAAACAGACACAACATTCTATGTAAAACATGGAAGAGAAACAGCTAACTGCATCTAATTTGATAGGAATGATGGAAACAAAACACAACGACAATCAAAAACAAATTTGGAGGTGGTATTACTCCTGTCTTTCAGCTTTGGTGCAGATGTGGTGGACCCTCATCTTGATCATTGGTTAGGACCCCATGAAGTCTTAAGTCTGTATGCAGTGATCACTGACACACACATAAAGTATGGGACAAAGGGCTAGAGATATAAATGAGACTGTAATATACCAATAGGTATAATGCATAGAAGGATAATGAAAGGGAATGCCAAAAATTGAAACATTAGAGCTTAGTGAGGGAGTAAAGTTTTAAGTGCTTTGTCACCATTTCTTACACATTCATGATTCTTGTTTACTATCTCTTGTCATTATGTATTTGTTTTTTTTTTCAGATGTGAAAGCAGACTTGACTAAAATAGGGTTTATTGGCCTTGGAAACATGGGCGGTCCTATGGCTCGGAATGTTCTTGATAAGGTAATTACAGCATGAAGATTGCAGTTTAAACTGCAGTTTTTATAGGGCTAAAAGCAGACACTGTTCCTGCATTTTGGTGCCATATTATCAAGGTATGTGGTAATACAGTAATGTAATGTGGGCATAAGGCTTAATTTCAGATATCATCACTAGCTGCCTGCTCAAGAAGGCAGAGATTTCCCCTCTTATGTTTGGCATTGTGGTAAACTAAAAGAGTTCCACTATCATAGCTAGGAATTGGACCCGTTCATCTAAAATCTAGGTAGATATACATACATGCCATAGATTCTAGTAAGCCGGATGTTTAAGAAATGAGAATACACTATATCACATTAAGAAAACTGTGAATACAATACATATAAAGAAACATTGCAAGAATAAAATACAGTACAGTAGATGTAACCGCACATATAAGTACAATATTAATAGTTCCTTAACAGTTTTAAACTCTATTCTGAAGTAGCTGAAATTACACCAAAATCATTGTATATTCACGTTCATTTATTAACTCTTTGAAGCACACATTTACTGTGAATGATAATTAAATATTCAGCTCTTATCTCACAGGAAACATTCTGCATCTGCATTATAAATAGTAGCTATTGAGGAATTTTATTTATTTATTTATTTATTCACTTCACATCCATGGATCATTATAAATGACATAGGACAAGTCAAAACACTCTATAATCCAATACAACGATACAATAAGACAATACAATGATACAATAATAGAATAATAAGAAGAACAATATNACCTCCTGCTATCCTGTTCTCTGCAAGAGTAAAAAAACAAAACAGAGCAGAAGGTATTCCCACATATATGTTATTGTAAAGATGTAAGTCATTTATTCATTAAGTATATGATAACTAGTAATTATGATTTGATTTATCCCCAACCACGAAAAAGTCTTCTACCCTATAAAAACAATGATCCAGCAAGAATGTTTTCAGAGTCTTTTTGAATTTGTGTAGTACTGGTATCTCTTTAATATATTGTGGTAACTGATTAAACATCCGACATCCTATATTACTAAAGTTGTTTTTGGATAAACTCGTATTACATGGTACTGTATATAGGTTATCCTTTCTCCTTGTATTGTATGAGTGTATTTCGGAATTGATTGAGTAAGCACTTAAATTTGCCTTTATGTAAACCAACACTTCATATATATATAGGCATGGTAAGGGTAATATATGTAACAGTTTAAAATATTGTTTGCAACTAACAGTTTTCGGGATTTGTATCATGATTCTAATAGCTCTTTTTTGTAGCTTAAAGATCACTTTTGCTTCTC